AACCAATTATCCGGCAAATGAGGCGAGCGATGACACGGAATCCGATGACGAGGAGAAGGAGCAGGAGCCTGCCAGCACGGTGTACTTTATGAAATTGCCAGCGGCACCAGCCGAGGAGGCATATTCCTCAACGGAGGACGAAGATGACAGCGACTTCTTGAGCACCACCTACACCTGGAATCTCCGCAATGTGCCCAAGCTGCGTATTAACGATGCTGAGGCCGAAGGTGAACTGCCAGTGGGGCATCAGGCGAAGGAGGCGCCTCAGGCGGAGCAGCTGAGGGAGAAGGAGCCCTACTTGAAGCCGGAGCCGCCCAAGGTGCGCCCGGCGACGCCCACACCACAGGCACCTTCTCAGGAGTCTGCCGAAGGGCAGACACAAAAGGTAATGCCATCTCATAGTTTAAACAGCACACTTAGATATCTGGAATGATTTACACTTGGTATGCTGCATATGTAAAAGCTTAAGCTACAAATTCTTCAGGAGTAAATCGTTCGTAATCTAAAAAAAATTATGTTTAACTTTTTTGATTTCTGGTTACTAGTTACTAAGTCTTTTTAACGACCGCAGTGCCTATGTTGTCTTAGATCTAAAGTTGGAAATTCCATTTTTCCATTGTTGCCAATATCGCCAAGGGACTGGCCAACAATAGAGGGTGTTCAAATATTAATTTGTGAAATATTCCCCAGTACCTTTTGTTTTCGTTATCGTACTTGTTCATTTGCAGAAGCAGCGTTTCATTGGGCAAGCCTAAGTCTATTTCGTAATATGGAAATAGCTATAGGAACAACCATAATCAACGACCCATATTCCAATGCGCATTTACCCGTAAAGTTTTAATCGGCTTTAACCAGGTGACCAAGGCTTATCAAAGTGGGCAGCATTGCTGCAAGTGGGTACTAGAAGAACCATACAGACAAAACGAACATAGTGCTTAGTTGCCTTAGATATTGCCTTAGATACAATTTGCCCATTGTTGTTAATATTGGGAACGGACTGGTCAACAATAGAGGATTCTACCAGCGAGTTGTCCTATGGTTTTCGTTATCGTTCCCGTGCATTTGCAGCTGCAGCGTTTTATGGGGCCAATCAAAGTCTTTTCCAAAACTCATTGAAACATTCAAAATATTTATTTAATAATTTTTTTATTAAGAACAAAATCAACATAAAAATGAAACGGAGTCAACTTAAATTGGGAGAACATACAACATAAAGTATCTTTCGACCATTCTATTTTTTGGCTAATACACACAAATACCCAAATAGATAACACCATAATCGTTTTACGATTTACAGCTGCTCTTCAGACTGGATAAGCTGGAGCGATCTTGGCCCTGGGCGGACCGTGAGAAAATTATATACAAGTGAGTGGTGAATCAGGACGCATTGGCATCTCAGCTTAACACCTATGTTTTCCAGGCAATCCACGTGCCATTTGGTGCCACGAAAGCCACTGGGACTGGTGGGACAGCGAATGCAGCTGCTGCTCAAGGACAAAAAGGAGTGAATTCACGGAGGGAGCAAGGAGTCAAACCCTCGTTAAACAGTTCCTGCCATTAGCTTAAGTCTAACCTCAGAGGGGGACAACTCGACTGCGAAGGGTGGGTGTGAGGCGACCAACTTTTAATTGAGTTCATTATGCAAATACACAGGCGACAACAGCAGCCTCAACTTCAACAGCACTTCAATTAAAAGCCGAACACCCAGGCGTATGCGAAACTCTATTCAAACGAGCGAACTTCACACCCAGCCTTTCAGTCGGGTAAAATTTTTAATTAAAATGCACTCCCCCGGATGCCGAAAAATCACTGTCAAGTCAAACGCACCCAGAGTCAAAATCAAGACAAAACCAAAACCCAAACTAGACCAAGCCAAGCTCTTCAACTGGCACTCGCAACTTGGCCAGGTTTATGCATTATTTGTGACCCGACCCACCGCACCATAAATTCCATCTGAAGGCCAACGGAATGCACTTATCCCTCCGACAACAGGACGTGCGAGTCACGCAGGATACAAGGACGGGCGATGACGATGCCAAAAAAAGTTCCTTGAAATTTACCCTTGTTTTTAGGGCTCTTGCACGGAAAAGTATCACTTCAGGATAAGCAAAGTTCCTTCTATTTATTATTGAAATTAAACGATTTGTTAAAACTTTATATTAAGTTGAAGTTTAATCAAAATGCGCTACGTTTATTAATATCTGCTGAATTCACCTGTTCACTTCTTAAAGTAGAAATAATCTAATAGTAAGAACTTTTGTATTAGGCTGAAGTGTCTCCTCTTCTTTTGTAATTTTAAAAGAATTCAATAGTTGGAATATGAAACTTTCTTATTAGTTTTCTGCTTATATATTTTATTGTTTCGTATATTAAAAACTATATTTCTGACTTCTTTAAAAAACTGTTGTTTTGAAGAAATTTTGAAGAAAAAGTTTCAATGAAACGTTTTATCTTTTCCTTTCCCTTACCTAAGTCTAACATCAACTTCTTGATAATTGTTTGCAAATGCATAACACATTAAGTCGGTAAGTGAAACAAGATCCTTGCTAGTTTGCATAGCAAACATAAATGTTTTCCCCTTTGTTTCCCCCTTCGATGGCAGCTACGAAAACAAACAGCTCCGGAATTAAACAGCTCATTTGCCTGCTGGCTGATGAGGAAAGTTTACTCCGGCGGGCGTACGTGGCGAATGAGCCACATCAACCTGGTCTGAAAACAGCATCATGTGCTCTATGCTTTCGGGCGCGAATAATCTGTAGAATTATGAGTTTCTGAGGGCGTGTGTGGGTGTGTGATAGTGCACAATGCGAAACTGCCACTTATCGCACACACTTTACATGCATAAAACATTGTGCCGCACAATGGAACAACGGCGAGGACACGTGTCTGCCATACAAACACTGTCGCAATGCCAGTCACAGCCACCCACTGCCCCTTGCAGGGACGTCATTAAAAAGACCACCAACGGGAAATGGCCAAACCAGAGCCAGACCTCAACGGATAGTCCTCAATAAGTGTCAGCGAATGTTGACAGCCCTGCAATGAGCTTGGTGTCCTTGTGTGTCCTGTGTCCTGGCTGGCTAGAATGCATTTTCAGCCAGGTTGCGGCAAAGTTTACGTGAGAAAAACTGACACACTTCGGGTTTTTGTAATCAGTGCGAAAATGTGAAAATAAATATAACTTCTATAAGAGTTATTTGTCCTCATCAATCATTTATCATTGTCTTAAGTTAGTAAGTTACTTTTGAACATGTTTGTATATTTAAGCAAGACTATAATAAAATCGAATAACAAAATAATTAGTTTTGAGTCACTTATGTATATAAATGGTATCGTTAGCACTTAAATACCTTGATCAACATTTCGTTATTACTTACCCGTAACTACCAACAGTTCTTTAGATACCCAATTCCTATTATACAATCATCAAATTTCTAAGTAATGTGTTTACTGAAGCCCAGCTATTTACTTTATGTCCCAACACGAGTTGGGCTTCAGTTTGTGGCACAAGCTGGCTTTGGTTAAATGGAATTCGGAAGCACCTGTTGTGCTTTCATCACCACGCTGGCTAACCTGGCCAACGTCCATGGGGACCAAATGGTGGAGAGCTCACTTCAAATGGCATTCATTAAATGAGCATTAGGTTCGCCTGCGATGTGGTTCTGGCTGTCGTTGACAGACGTATCCTAGATTCATTAAACAAACTGAAAGTTGACTAATTAGCACAGCAGAGCAACTGGAAATGGAAACGTTCAGCATACATACATATAATTAAAATTTTATTACATTTGCGTACATTCATAGACACACTAAAAGCGATTGCCAGAAAGCTCAGCTTACCACAGAGAGAGAGATATATATGGGCGAAGGGAGTGGGGGTTGGCTATTTCTAGGTTACACTTAACACTTAAGACAACAATGATATTTAATATCCACATAAATTCTTACATTCATAGGTACAATAAATATGTTCTCATTCAAGTGGGTCCGTCGCAGGCAAAAGGCTGAAATTTATTTCGCATTTTGCATTCTAAGGAAACCAAGGAAAGCTGGGGAATATACTATGAAAACTTAACATTTAGCATGGCGCAAATTGTAGCGAAATACATTTCAGCCCTGCTGGCTAAGGAATTTATTAGGGTGTCCTAGAAGTTGTCCAGAAGTTTACTAACAATATGTTGGGTGTCTGAAAGTATGCTATGCATTATTTAGAATGTTCAAGTTGAAGTGCTAAGAAAGAAATAACTTTTAATAGTGAAACTGTTATTTTTGGAATTATTATTTGTGGTAGTTTTTGCCAATTAAAGTGATAGTCATCTCAAATTGCGTAAATAAACACAGAGCTAACTTCATTTAAATTCGCTTTTGCTTGAAATTCGTTGCCTACTTTTAGACACCCAAAAATATTATTTCGAACCTCCAGGCATTTCAGGAACATCCCCTTGCGATAGTAACTGGGCTCTATGGGCTTTTGCTGTTTTGGTGGGGTTTCGGGTTCTTGACCTGTTTTGGTTTTGGTATTACGGTGGCTTAAACTATGAGATGTTGTGTGACTCGAAGGGGTTGGTTAATCTAAAGCGCCTCATCGGCCATGTGCTGCTGGCCAGCTCCCTCCATGCGAACGATGACAGTGGCCATGCCATTGGGATGGCCCTCCTCCTCCGCTCCAGTTGCTCCAGATCCTGCCTCGGATGCTGTTGCCGCGTCTGATGGTGCAGCCTCTGCGACATCTTCTGCTATGGTCGTCATCAATGTCGGCCTGTCGACGGCACCTCCTCCGGTGACGGTTGTTGCCAGCGGTACCGAAGCCCCGCCAGCGGTTTCGCGCTCCTCCATGAGTGGCTGGCTCTGGCGGGAATTGTCGATGGTCTGGCGGCGCTTCAGGAACGGCATTCGGCTGCGCAGGTCGTCGAGGAAGGACGACGACGACGTGGAACCCGCCAGGCTCTGGCTGCGAGCTCTTTGCTGCTCCGAGGACGACTGGTGGTGGTGGTGCTGGGGGCCCGAGGAAGCACGCCGCTTGGCCGACATGTCCTTTAGTCATACCTTCTCCTCTCCGGGCAGTGGCGGTCCGCAGCGCACGAACTACAATCAAAAGAACTGAGAATTTGCTATCATGGTGGTTGGCCAGTTGGCAACGGTGCGTCGGTTTCTGTAACTGTCTTATATATTCTTTTCGATTTTAGTCTTTAGTTTTAGTTTTAGCATGCGATTAATGCGTATCTATAGGCCAATAAACTGTGAGTGCTCAAGTGTGCTAGTGCTGCTGCATTACTCATACGCGCCGTAACCCGTGGTACAAAATTAGTAGAGAGAAAGGTTGGAGGAAAAGCATGTGAAGCTTTTAGTACAAATCTTACCGAGACCTGAGTGGCTGTATAGGAATTGGTCCGCGGCCGGTTGCTGAAGCACATCATCCGCCACTTGCGCTTCATTTGGGCAATCACCTCGCCGTTGCAGAAGCAAAACAAAGTGGCCACGCACAGACCCTGCAAAAATAGAGCATTTCTAGAGTGAGCGAGCAGGCTGAATTATCGCCGGGGCTTATCGTAGTTGTCCTTATTACAATGCCTATTACTTTGGTCCCTTTTGTACCCTGGAAGTAGGTATCACAATTTGGTATCGCTCCATCTATCAGTTATTAAGGTATCGGTTTTATGTTTTATATTCTTGGTTTATATTTTTAACAAACAATTATTATTCATCATAATTTATATCGGTTCAGAATTATTAAAATAAATTTTAACTCTTGTCTGGTTTTTTTGGGTTTTAAAATCCTAAAAATTTTAATAAAAGAAGGATTGAACTCATTGAACACCATCGGAAATGATTTAAAAATCGTATTAACCAGCGATTTGGAATCTAAATTAATAGTGAATACAAGAAAAATGTAATCAGCGCCAAAATACTAAAAAATACCCTTAGGGTTTTACAGGAAAAATGATTATCCACGGTATACAAGTCGTCGATTTCCCCGACTTTTTCTACCTCTCCTTTCTTGTTGGCTGGCAGTTGGTCCTAATACAATACATAATACAATTTTGCTTGTTTCTTTGGTTATTCCCCCATCCTGCCACCGAAATGGCCGGTATTCATTTCGCCCGTCAGACGGCCACTTCAACGAGTCGTGAGTCCTTCGTTCGTTCGTCCATACCGATCCAATCCCACAGTTCGCCATTTGTCTTGCCACTTTCTGCCTGATTGTCGCAGCCGGCATTTGTGTGTGGCCCATATATATATGTAAATATTTAATGTATGGCCGGGTACGTGCATTGACTGTTGGCAGGATTTCTGGTTGGCACTTCGGAGCGGGGCTTCTTTTGATTGCCACTACTCACGGAGGCCCATCATGGACTCAATCAGCCACAGTTGCCATCCGTTTACTCCTCTATTTTGGCCTGCCTTTTCATAATAAAAGTGGGAATCGTTGTCTCACAGCATATTGCAAGTAAGTCATTTGTTGTTTGATTGCAAATAAACAACTTCACTTCCACTTAAAGTGATTGTCGATACTTGAAATGCAAGTCTTTTCTTCTATTCTAAAGTTATATTTTAAAATACTGCAGAAAATTACTGAATAATTACGAAACTACTTTGATCACAAAACTGAGAACACGTATTAAAAATTTTTGAGCGTTTAAGGTGACTATAATCATCATCATTTATTAAAAGTTTTGAGAAAGGTTTTTGTCTTGGTTCGGCAACAGTGAAATTGTCAATATAGATAATGGGAATTTAAACTTAAATAAAAGTTCTTTCAATTAAGATTAGTTCTTGTACTTATGAAATGGTGTCAAAAAGCTTAAGGAATTATATTATTTTAATTGTCAGAAACTAAAACTGTTTTGTTATGGGGCTCATGTGCACATTGTTATGTAAACCGCTCATGTTCCTGTTCCTTACAGTTTCTAGTTGGTCAGTTGTTTTGGTTCCGGAATACGCTTGACCACAGAACGGATAGACAACATGTACTATATGTAGAGCACAATACACGCCCAATATACGAACAGGACCTTGGTGTATTCAATTTTTGCATTTATGTTGCTGCTCTCTCTGCGTTGTTTTCTTGTTCTTTTTTGTCCCATTTATAAAGCTTCCGGTTTAACTATCCTTCTTTGTCTTGCAGTTTAAGCCATTTATTAAAAGTGCTCCTCAAAAAGTTTGTGCCGGTTTTTTTTTTTCAGATCTTTTTATGGGACTTCCTGAAGTTTTCCAAATACTCCTGCTTAATTACAGACTTAGCCATTACTGAACCCAACTGGGCAAGAGTTTTATATTTTTTCGCTTGGAAATTAACTTAATTTAATTTCTACAAAACTAAAAAGCTCATGAAAGTCAATTAGTTGATTTAAAATATTTGGCAAGAAGTCAAGACCATGCAAACATTTCAAGCCATTTTAACATCAGGACTCTGTTGACATCTGACGTTTGTTTTTCACTTTAGCTTTCTGCCAAGCGGAAGTTTTTAATTCAATTAAAGTAGAACGTGTTTTGTCTGCACATTTGTTAAATACAGAATGTCCCTAAGTCCTTGGGGGAAACATGTTGGGAATTTCTGTGCGAAGCTTGCAATTGCAGCAAGTTTCTGATTTCGGCAGCAAAACAACCAAATAAACACGTTTACATGCATATAAATTCTCATCGTTGACTAAGTAGTTTCGGGCTTTTCATTTCCCTCGACTGCAAATCCCCCCGTTCCCAGCTCAAAAATTATTTGATATTCTTTCCGGAGCTTAAAACTTGCGGGGAATCTTTTACGACAACATCACCACGGCTGCCACAATAAATCCAAATTATATGCAACCACTGAGTTCGGCGGGAAAACTTTGCCATCCTCGCAGCAAATAAGGCAACGGAAAACAACGCAATAAAAAATAAATAAATAAGACAAAAGAAAGTGCAAAAGGAAAGTCCCTGGCGACTGGCTTTAAGATGTCAGCTCGCGAATAAAAGATTTTATCAATCGGTTCACATTGACGAAAGGAGCTCAGGCAGAGGTGAAATTGTTCAGATGCTGAGATAAATATAAAACAGGCAAGGGCACAACTGCAGCTTAGTCACACCCAAACAGATTTAATTTTTATTCGGAAGATAATGGATTTCCATTTGCTTCGGGACTTAATACACTAAAGAAAATAACCCATCCCAATGTAGCGTTAGAATATAAATAAATAGATTAGGTTGTGTTTATTTATACATTGAATGGTAGAAGAAAATTTAAAAATCGGACCATTCATTTAAAAGAATGACATAATGAAATGCAAGCAGTGCTGATAGCTGAGTTACAGGTATCCTCTCTTGTTGACGTTTGATTTAAGACCTTTTTAGTTTTTAAGAATTTTTTCCTCTGTGTAAGATTTTTTAAGTTGTCTAGCTAGTCTACCTTTTAAAGCCGATTATACTTTGACACAATTGATTTAAAGCAAAATATAAATTGACAGGTCCCTCGAAATTTTTAAAAATAATGCCTTTTAAATGGAAATATAATTGTTAATTTATTTATCCCTTTATATTTTTTACCTAACTAACCCTCATCAAACCAAAACTATTAGTTTTACAAAGTGGAGCGAGACAGATATATGCAAATCATTTAAGCTGCGACTGCAAAACATTTACTAGAGCAACAGTTTGACAACATACTTCGGGGACTTAACCTACAAGATGCGAATGTATCTGCCAAATGAAAGTTTGCCAGCGTTGTCTTTAAGTTGCGGCCAAGAAAAATATGTTAACTGACTGTAAGTGCTGGTCTATCGGGACTGACTTGGCCGGGGGACAAGCTCGAGTTGCTTTTACGAGCCCCTGCGTGCTGGAGTGCATTTCATGCTCAACTTGCTACATTTTTCCAGGGGGAAGTTTCGCTCCAATCCCGGCCAGCAATTTAATATACTGCGACCAAGCAAAATGCCAATGGCGAGAATTCCACATGGCGTGTATTTTCCTTATTGATTTCGAAGGATCCCGTATCTAATGAGCTGGGGTTGGTATTTTCTATTTGGTATTCCAGTAATTCTGGCTTATTTGCATTCCCAGTTGTCGATCCACGAGGCGAACTAACATCATAACTTTTTAGCCAGCTCAGAGTCATAAAGTGATTTTATGAGAGCGTGCAAAACAAAAGCCGGGGAAAAAACGAGAACGGGAACGAAAACATTTTACTTACTTGAAACGAGGCCGTAAACGCCGAGATGATTTCGTATGTATTCTCCCAGGGATGTCCGGGTGCAGGACGAAACGGCGTTACGATGTACTGGAGGCCGAGCAGAGGAACCAAAAGCAGCGTGGCCCTAAAACAAAATGGGGAGGGGGTGGGTGGTAGTGAATTATAATGCCATGTTTTCTTTTTTCGGTGTGTATTAACATGCAAGTCAACGCGCCGTATGCGTAATTTAAAATGTAAAATGAACCAAACTTCCAAGTGCAGAGCGAATAAACAATAAAAGAGCTGATGCCTTGAGGCAGAATCCTAAAGAGCAGCACGCTACGATAAATACAAGGGAAACAAAATATAATTACGCATTCGCCCCGTGGGCCAGTTGAGCGTTCTCCTTTTTGGTTTGAAACGTTTCAGTCTCCCCAGTTTAGGGGAACTGAAGTTATTTTTCCAAGTAGATAAAGGAAAACTTACCGAAAGGCCTGCAAAATGGTTCGGGAAGGACCGCAGCTGCCCTGAATACTGGCCGGGGCATTCAGTTTCAGCAGGACGACGCGCACAATGTTGCACAGGAACAGAAGGTTGAGGAACATGGAGATACACACGGGCACCACCAGAATGTTATCGTAGTCGGTTTGGCTCATCCAGCAGCTGCAAGGTGGAATAGGAATTCGCGATGAGTCGGTGGGTGAATTGCTGATTGATTTCATTAGCATTTGACAGAGCCAGCGTGTAGTTTGAAGAAATTTGCCACACACAATGGAGAAATCTGACAAACTACTTTTATATCGTCAACGTAAATGTTGCTAAAATCAAACTTTATATATGACCAAAAAATATATATTTTTAATAGTTAGTAACATTTACTTCAATGTGATGTTCTTAAATGTTGTAATAATTGTTGATAATTCTTTAGTTAAATTTTTATAGTTTGCAATATTTACTGCAATACTTCTTGAGTTTCTTTACTTTGTTATATTCAAATGGCTATTAATTTCCTTGCAATTTATGGTGCAAATATTTTTCTGTGTAAGGCACTCCTATTAATTATTCACTTACTGCATGTGGTCCTCGGGCGTGCCGCCCAGACCGCGGGCCATGCTATAGACGAATATGACGACGGCCGGAGAGCCCCAGCCGAAGGCGATCAGCCATTTGACCAGCCTCTTCTCGGAAATGAACGCGGCCACCAGGACGGTGTGCAGATAGAATCCCTCGCATAGCATCCACGAGTAGTTCGACAGCAGGAAATAGTGCAAAGTGATGTGCAGGGCCACGCAGCGCATCTGTGGAGTCCCACGGAATTTCGAATTTGGCAATAGGATATCGGAAACTGAAGTTGATGCACAATTACGCATACGCCAGATGGGCCCACTTACCGGACTGTGATGGAGCAGCTCCGTATTCGGCATGACCAGCAGGTACCAGACCAACCACAACGAGTTGTTGGCCGCAAACGAGGCAAACAGATTCATGTGCAGAGTGATGCGGGCGCACTTCAGGGATCTGGGCAATCGAAAGACAAATATGCGAGTAGAATTACTTGGGGCGGGAATTTTGGTCGTCTTTTTTTTTTTTGGCAAGAAATTGCAAGTTTGTCCATTGACCAATTTGCATTCGGCCAGGGGCTAGCGAAGTAGATTGGACAGGGCACGAGAGGCTGGAAAAGTCCTGTGGACAAAAGTCCAACGTTCATTTCCATTTTCCATTTCTCTTTTGCTCAACTGCATTGATTGCTGGCATCTGGTCAAACTGAATTTTAATTTGATTCCTTCTAAGCAAATCACTAAGAATTGATTTTAGATTGCATTCTATTATCACTTGATCATTATTTAAATTTTTGAAAATATACAATTTTTTCTTAAGAGGTCTACCGTACTTTAGATTAATTCTTATGAGGAAAATAAATCGATTTTTGACAAATTGTATTCAAATTAAAAGACAGCTTTAATTGGATAATAAAAACATTTTCAAGGCAAAAAATGTATTTTAATTTTTACCAAAAGATCTATCATCTTGTTCAATTTCATCCTTTGCTTGCTTAAATAAAAATGTTCTGTTATTTTTATTACATTGAGGTTTCCCCAATAGGTCAATAATCTTTTTTCCATGATTTTCAGTCGCTCGCCCCACGACTCAATTTCTTTCTTTAAACTATTAAATTTTATTTAAATTGAAATTCTCTGGTATTTTCATTACAGTTGTATGTGTTTCTGGGGAGGGATTGAGGTTTCCCATTCATTGGGTCACGCTCCTTTGTCATTAAACTTTTAATTATCCACTTTTTTAGGGCAGACCAAATTCCCACACGTCGCTGGCCTCGTTTTATTTGCCTTTGGCACACAATTTAAAACACTTCTGTCAGCTGTCGTCCTGACTAAAGCATCCCTCTCGCTCCGCACCTCCTTTATCTGTATCCTTGGCCCCATCTCTATCCGAATGAGTGATAAACAAACCGAGAGCACTAATTGGTCTGCAGGCACTGGGAAATTAATCGATATCCTGCTTCGGGTCCCCATGAGCAGACACAATTGGCGGGAGTGAGACGAAGTCCTTTCCCATTTCCGGCGTCAATTGTGTCGCATTAAGCGAGTGCAATGAGCATTTTTGCCATCACCCAGGTTGGCAGCTGATTAGGCCACTGTCGCATTTGTTTGCCGTCCATGAAATTCATTTTTGGCGCCAGCCGTCATAATATAAGTCGCCATATAACGACCATCGAGCGCCATTACCCACGAGTGGTTTTTCTTGCTCCCAACGAAGCTGTCAACTTATGGCCAAGATGAAGGAGTGAAGAACCCTTACTCATACTCACTTGAAATAACCCAATATGCCCAGGGACAGCAGGATGGCCAGCAGCGAGGTGCCGTAGCCAACCTCGTAGATCAGATTTACACTGTGCCTCCACTAGAGATACAAAATACATGGATACAAAATATTCCTATTAATTAATCGCACTGTGGTATGGGATCAGCTTACCTCGAGGTCGTCAAGATTTACGCAGGTTGTGTAGTTGGACCATGTTTTATTGGTCAGCGGATGCTTAAACCACTCGCCATCGAGGCCACACTCCTTGTGGGCATATCCTGTTGAAAAAATCAATTCGTAAGAAATATTTACATTTCCGTTTTAAATACAAAAAAAATTTAAATGTAAATATTTAATAAATATTTGTATTATTAATTCGTCGAACTAAACTTATTTTCTTTTCTTTTAATTAAATCCGCTTGTCACCCTGTGCTTTACACAAATATTTACTCTTACAAAATATACGTGATTTTATGATTGACTGCTCGATAAATATTACAGCTTATATTTGCATTTTGCGGTGGGCCAGAGTATTAAATTGTATTAACCATTATTTATTGCATCTGCCACCAAGCTAACCGCAAACAAGTTGTGGTTGCCATTCGAAATAAAACCATATCAACTTGTTGTTTGAATTTAAATTGCATAATCATTCGGTTGTTGTTGAGGTCATGTGTTTATTCAAGTCGATTCAAGCCGATGGTCGTGACAAAAACTTTCTTTTGCTGCTGGCATGTCAAGTGCCGTTCGATTGGAATCACCAAGTTTTCAGTGCAATTTACCGAGTGGCACTTGTCGAAAAAGTGCAGAAAAAATTCGGTGAGAAATGCGAAGGTGAGCTTTATCAGCTCGTTCGTTTTTCAGGATTTTTTTGTCGAACGATGATCTTTGCCCGAATCCATTTATCGCCGTTTGGCACGCAGACGGTGAAAATCACGTATACGCGCTGTGTGGCAGATAAGTAGGGAGTTGGCGTCCGTAGCTCACCACATCGACATCCGGAGACCGGAAGTGCCATAAAAGTTAATGGCGGCGCAGTGCCAAAGCACATAATCTTGTACAAGCTGGCGGCGACCCCAAAAGGCAAAAAAAAAGAAGGGAAAATTGGGGGAAGCCAAGAGGCAAACCACAAGCTAAATGTAGTGAAAGTAGCACTTTCTTGGCGCTCGCCTTGTTTTCCTCCCTCTGTCATAACAAAAAAAGTCATTCAACTTTTGCTATTTTCGTTGCCCTGGTCATGGCCAAAACGGGGTTACGGTTTAAGTTGGCTTGCTCCATATTGCTAAACGCCCCATTAATGCAAATTGACATGCAGCGCATGATTTATTCCATAAATTGCTTGAAATATTTATACACATTTATGCCGATTTTCTGGAGCGTGCTTGTGTTTTTTTCTTAATATTTGCTTTAATTCCAGGGGTTGATCAACATTTGAAAAGCATAATTAATTAGTTTTGGTTGTGCGCTCAGCTACTCAATTGATTAAATTATATAGCACTCATCTACTTATTATGAATTAAATGCAATACCTATACAATGTGCGGCAAAAACAAGACTAATTATTCAAGTCACCTCTGGCTGATAACGCACATTGTCATTAATGATTCAAGAATGAGTTGGAAAACTATTTAAATAGAAGGTTTCCTTAATTAAGTTATTGTGGCCGTCATCAACACCTTGAACAGAAAAGTGATTAATGATTTTGGAAGGGGTTTCTCCTTTAAAAACTTATTTGTTTATAAAAGCTCTTCCCATAACTGTGTAATTTAAGATTTAATGCCATGCTTTTCGTAGCTTTAAATACTTGACTTGACTTTGCCCTTGTTTTCAACGTTACATTTGATCCAGGCAAATTGTGCCAAATCAGGCGAAAACATTTCAGCATTTTGCCGAGCTCCTTTGGATAATTTAGTGGCCCAAGGAGCTTCGAGCCCGTGTGGTTATGTGAATATTTTATGTTTCCATACGACACGAAATCAAAGCATAACCGTAACAAGTTTCCAATTGATTTGGCCTGGCTGCGAGCGTATTTTCTGTCTTATTTATGTAGCTACATATATATACAAAGATGAGCTCAGGGATGAGGCCAATTAGAGGTAGTTCTGACTACCCCATCTACCCAGCCAACCGCATTGCCTCGTGCAAACACATTTCCCTTTGGTTGGGAATGCTACACTCATATATGTACGTAGGTATACATTTTTTCGTGTCATATGCAGATCCCCTGCTGACCCCAAAACGGATGTAGATTTGCGGAATTTAATAAACAATTCAGCTGCCGCACGCCGTACTTACTTGCTGGATCGAATCCCGTGATGAAGTCCGGGCAGAGTTCGTAGGCGGAAGTGCCGGCGGCCGTATCCGGCCAACAAAGCCAGCCATCAAAGGTGCCGGCGCAGTGGGGTCCTCCAGAGCCTGTTTGTCGGGGGCAAAGGGAAAGGTCAATTTAAAGTTACTCGTAATGGACACCGAAATTGCAGTTGGCAAGGGCCAGAGCCACGCAGCGAAAAAGAAACACTAAAATATCAAATGTATAGCCAGCACAAGTTTTTATATTTACTTCATAAAAAAATCTGTAAATAAAGAGACAACTAATTTGGCTTTCGAACTCGTAAAAATAAAAGCCTAATTTCTATAAAGTTTGAAATACTGGGGACAAACATGGCTATTATAATTAAGGCCCATTAATAAATGGATTAAATGAAAATTCGTTTATCGCTTTATATAACTATGAAGTACAAATGGTATTATTTAAATATTAAATATGAAGTATTAAATCTTTTTGTATAAAGTAAAAAATGGTTTTAAAATATTAATATAAGTACTTATTACAAGTAATGCAAATGCGATTTCTCCCAGTGCAGGACTTACCCGCCAGTTGACCGCTGCCATTTAGCCGCGTTTCGCAGGCGGCCCGAAGTGCATCGAAGTCCGGGCCGCTCTCCGCCACGCTTTCTGCGATGGAGGCGGCGTTGCTGCCACTGCCACTGCCGCTAAAAGTTGCGTTGGAGTTGCTGTTGCCAATCTGCTCGTTCATGGCTGCTTGATACTGCTGCACTGCGTCCGCTGAAATGTGGCAAATAGGTTTCGTTAGTCAATCAAATTGGTTTCGCCGGGCTCATAAATGCGGGTGCCAATGTGTGCTCGCCTCCCCATAAGTATTTTGCGTTTTACGGTCCATTTGGAAGGGAATTTAATTGGTTATCCAACAGCTTTCTGCTGTGAAAGTCCCAGGACTGCATACTGTTGCTGTGATTTCAACTGAATTATTTATTGATTTTTTACAAAGAAGCCTGAGTTGCGTGAGTAACTTAATTGTACTTGAACAATTGCATCAGCTATTAAATAATGGTATTTGCAGCAGATATCTAAAAATAATTGGTATTTTTCCAATTAAAGAAAAAAATGATCAAATAACAATTTATTTGCAAATTGAGCAGCTATTAAGTTTTTAAGTAAATTTCGTTTGCTTTAATATTTTCTATGCTAAACGAAATTGAGTTTATGAATCTAACAATTCTAAGTAGGAAACTCCACTATCATAAAGATTATGGATTCAGCAATTTATATATTTTATGATATAGCAGGGCAGCACTGAATTGGTTTTATAAGGACCTAAGGCGAAGTTTGTAAAGAAAATAAATAAACATATGTACATATACTATTTATTGGTTAGAGTACAAACTCTAGATTGTGTGTTTCCTTGGCTTTATTATTCGATGATATCTTCCCATTGATTTAAAAAAAATGTTAAATAAAATCATGTATGCATTTGACATACTCTGCGCATTTGCATATTTCTTTAAAATCAAATAAATATTTACACGTTTCTATGTGCGTATTTCTGTCAACTGCAATGCAATTCGCCTGCATAAGCTGACAATATTTTTGTGGACTGCAAACAGCAACAAGGTGTGTGCAAATATTCACTTGTCGAGCACAAACAAATATTTGTGCCGAGATATTGCTGATGCTCCTGTTACTGTTGTGCATTCATGATGAAGCAGGACATGTCCAGTTGGAAATCCAAGGTTTTCGATTCAGGATATCGAACGTTGAAAATCAAACGACAAATTGCTGGCATGTCAGGTAGTCTTCCCCCTTTCCATTTTCCAATCTTATCGTTTAGGCAAATTGCTGCCTGCACTTAAATTGCAAAGTGACAAGAGCAAAAACCACAAAGAGCGACAAGAACGCAGAACGCAGAAAACCCTGCTTCAAAAGCGAACATCATAAAATCTAGGATTGCAAATTGGCTGTGCAGAAAATGGGTAGATTCCCCGAGGGTTGGGTAATGGCGAACTGAATGCATTTTGTGTGCACAACACTTGTGAGCGAGTGCCGTTTTATGACAACTCTCTGGCATGTTTGCTCGGGGTTTGCTGCTCTTCGTCTCCTGTTGTAATAATACTACAAGTTTTATATTTATTACACGAATTACACGAAATCGCATAACATCACTCAGCGCAACTCGGAGAACGTACGGTGGTGTTACTCTCGATTTTGTTGAGCTCATCTCCAAGCCATTGGGTTTAATGCTTGAGCTGAGCAGACAAATTTGGTTATTAACTGGCCGTAGCCATAAAAGTGATTTGAGGAGCGCGGGCTGGGGGGCACTTAAATTTTACGACTTCTCGGTACAAACTTGCCCATAAATCGCCGGCATTGAACCTGAGCATCAGCCATTGAATAAATAAGCGATTTCGTATTCAAGTGGGTTGAAAATAGTTAGGTGTTAGATAAAAATCAAGAACGTTCAAGCCAAAACAGCTTGTTGGGGGATCTCGAGGGCTTAACTAAAATGTGCAAACCAAGCGTGTGCTTAAAGTTAGAGTTTATAGGTTCTAGGTGAAGAAGTATTAAATAATTAGGGTGTTCAAGTGCGTTGTAAAGTGTAAAAGTGTAATTCAATTCCAACAGCAATTTCTATACAAAATAGTTTTCAAAAGTAGGCCTTGAAAAAGTTTGCAACGCAATTGAACACCCTAAATGTTTTGGTATGTATCTTGAGCTAGCATGTTTATTTTAATTATGCCCTAAAAAATTAAAGCTGTATAAATATAATAGGCGGATTAAATAAATGTTCCTTTAGTTAAATTTTTTTAAATTGATATGATAAATATAAATATGATAAAGAATTTTTTTGAACGTGCTGTTAAAATGTTAATGTCTCTTATGATTGTATTTTTTTCCATGGAATGACCTAAAAAAACATTGATTATTTCAAGGTTTTTATGTGACGACATTAAAGTACGTGGTTTTCATTAAACCCTTTTTTATGTTGCAAATAAAACTTTTGTATGAAAGGTAGTTCACTGATAGAAAGCACTTGATAAAATCCAGCGGATAGTTTAAATCAGAAAGTAAAGGTGGTTGGTTTTCCCTAGCATACTTTCTAGCGTGTCTGAATGATCAAATGTATCAGGTCGTGTTTTTAATGTTCCTCTCTGAGGGGGCGGGGGCATTGGCCCTTAACACGCCAAAGCCCAGCGTACCCCCCCTACCTATTCCGACACCCCCCTTGATCAGCTAATAAAAATATTTTTACGACAACGCGCGAAACTCACGCAAAACGTTGGCAATAACAGAAATTAGCAATAAAAGCGTGTGGAAAAGTGCCATAGGCGAAAAGTAGCGGGAAAAAGTTGGTCTATGGGGAGGAAAATGGGGAAAAGGGCCGGAGAAGAAGAAGCAGCTGCGGTGCGTTAAACAAGCTTGACTTGACTTGACTTGACTTCGGCAGCCCTGGAAGCTAATGCCCGATGTCAGGGATCCGTAAATTGCATTTGATAAAAGCGAAGGGGAGGGAACTTCAATAAAAATGGGCAAAATTGCGGGGGGCGGTGCTGTTGGAAAAGCATAAAACTGGCAAATGTATTTCACTTTGTGTATGTGCGTTACATGTGTAGGGCATCTATTTTAGCACTCAGCACTGAAGTGTCGACCCTGGCCACGCCCCTACGCCCCTACGCCCTGATATTTGGAAAAACGGCCAGAGTGAAAAACTTTGTTCGCGAAATGTTTGGCAAAACTGTTGTGTATTAAAAAACGTAGCCAAGCGAAACTGTGCCGTCTGCATCTGTCAAAATGTTTTCAATGGCTGGTTTGGTTTGGTTTCGGTTTTTACGTGCTGCACACACACAGAAGCACCGCCCCCCTGACGTATGAGTAATGAAAATGTTTGTTCCCCGATTTCCAATTCGTTGGCTGTCAGTTGTGCATCGAGCCGGGCTCAGTGGCACGGAACTATCCCAACTATCCACGTGGACAGTTCACCATCATTCTGCGCTCAGCTCAAAACATCTTTTAGTTCTGGCTGCAGAAATTTATTAGGCGCATAAATCATACACCAATGTCTGCACCAGCTTTGTTTTATATCCCCCCACATTGCCAGATCGTTGAATGATTTATGATAGATTTTTCCTTTAAATTTCCCTCGCTTTTTAAGCAAACAAAAGCATCAATTATTAAATGGATTGGTGGGTGGCAATTAATGGTTGAAATGTTGCATGAATGAAAGGCATCTCATCGAATATGCGTATAAATCAAATGTGCTATGCTTTAAGAGATTGTGTTAAAAGCCAGCCATTTCCACTGAATTTTTATACTTTATCGCTTGTTGTTTGAGGGCGGGGATTTGGCGAGCAGGCTTTTAAACTGCTTAAATACCATTTCGCCTAAAACAACATTTTCCCTGTTGCGACAGCCGTGCCAGAAATGCTTTAGCCTTGGCCCGCCCAGTGGCATTCCATTCGGATTTGGCCGGATTGCTATTGATGCACTGAATCGTTTTCCATTTTCCACCACTTTTGTTGCAAATGGAATGACAGCGCATAAAGGCAATTTATGAGTTTCCAATTTCGCCAGCTCCTGTGGATTTCAGCCGGGGATTATAAGTAGAAATCCTTTTTATTGAGCAGAAATTTTATTTCCCCTTAACCATGGCCAATTGAGTTTGAAGGACTTAAGGATTAAATGGGAAGTCAATTAATTTATGTAGTGGTCGTATGTGAAGCCTTAAATTGAAAGTCACTTTAAAGTAATATGATCCATAAAAGAAAATTTAAATTTAAGCTCTGCGGCTGTTACCATATATAAAATAGAAAAACGGCCGATGCTCTGCTTTTGCTGCCCACCACTGCTTTAAACCCACAAGAGTGAGATATTTTCATCTTTATACTATAAGATCTAAGAAGTATTTCCTTTATCACCCAATAATGTCAGACATCCATCCCGCCCGAGCGAGGAATTTATGCGAAAAGAAATTGAAATCATCTTGTCTCCACTGACAGACACATTCCACCTAAGCTGGCCATTCAAATCGCATTTCGTCATCTTGTATGCTTCACCAGCCGTAATGTCCGGGGAATGTATCACAGCCGAGGACCCTTTGTTGATGATAATAATGCCAACTGACAGCTGCCAAGGGTGCGATTTGAGAGCGCGCCGGCTGATTTATTTAGCGCTGCACTCGGCAGCGCGGAAAGGAGCTCATATTTCAAATAAATATAAAGTGTAAATACGGAATTGCTCAACAGGCAACGAGCTTCGAGATCCGACGAAAGGGTCCGCACAGGGACACTGCTCTCACCGCCAACCGGATGTTTCTGTTAACCGGGGATTATGCTGGTCGGACGGCGTCAAATAGCTGGAGAGGGCGATAAAAATGTTGCCAGAGATTACGAGAACAAGCGATTTATTTATTTTCCACACACACTTGCCCACTTTTTTGCCTCCGGATTCAAAAAACCGGCGAGCGTGGAGCTTGGAGCGTGAAAGCCGAGCCCTAATGGAATGGAATAATTTATAAAACTGGCCCAAAACGGCCGGCCGGCAATGAATTAAAGAAAGATGAGGCTTTAAGCCAGTGAGCCAGCGAAAAAGGAGTTTCGCCGGACCGACGCAAAGTGCATTTGTGCCACATTCTTGTTCTGTGAGCGGGTTTCTCTCGCTTCCTTTGAGCGCCCACTCATCGACCTTTGTCCCGGTTTCTTGCTTTTCCTCTGGTCTGCAATGGGATGGGAACGAGGTAGATTT